TTGTGACTGCCCTCTATTCTTTTATACGCACCTATTATAAGCGTCCACTTATCACTGGTTAACTACTATTACTAGCCCACCTTACACACAATATAATTGGTTATTAACATCTCAGTCATAAGATGCTTAATCATTATTCTCCACCCCTAACTATCTTCGGCTTCTGCATCCCACACACAGGAGCTGCTTATCTTGCTACCTTTTTTCTCATATTCCAGCCGGAGCAGTGTCCTTGAACAGCTTAGCTTGCAGATTGCTCAGGCCCTGGTAGCAAGGCTGGACTGCTCATATGTCCGTTAGCAATCAGACATTCTCCCACCGTCATCTTCTGATTCTCTTATGCATCCCAACTAGGGAGAGGGTGAGTCAGCAGCTTAATTAAGCACACAGTCCGTGTGGTGCTTAATTGGCGTCTGGGGTTAAATCATGACTTGTATCTAGTTACTGCCTGTGTGGTGACTTTAAATGTTTAACTGTTTTTTCATCTTTAATGCTGGGCACTGTTTGAAGGCTTTTCTCTCCTAAAGTAAATCATATTATTGAAATTGTTCAAACTCTTATACTCCTGTCTGCAGGAACAAGAGATGGACAGACACGGCTTATTAGAGATAATGGGAAAGTAGAAGCATATCAGTGGAGTGTTAGTGAAGGAAGATGGATAAAGATCGGAGATGTGGTTGGTTCTTCTGGAGCCACACAACAAACATCTGGAAAAGTTTTATTTGAAGGAAAGGTATACATAAACTTTGATTGATTTTATTCTTACCTAAGTAAAGTGCTTGATTTCCTATGTAAAAAATGCTGGCAAACTTCTAATTTGTTTTTATTTTTATTCTGCATAAAGGAGTACGACTATGTTTTCACTATTGATGTAAATGAAAGTGGGCCTTCCTACAAACTGCCTTATAATATCACTGATGATCCTTGGCTGACTGCATACAACTTCCTGCAGAAAAATGATCTAAATCCTATGTTTCTGGATCAGGTGGCCAAGTTTATTGTGGACAACACAAAGGGACAAACACTGTTGAGTACAAATACTCAATTTTCAGATCCGTTTACAGGTAAAACTTTTAAACTTAAATGATGACACCAATCACTCCTTCCAGTTTTGTGTCATCAGCAGACTCACTGAGGACACACTCTGATTCATCTTCCAAATCATTAATGAATGGACAGGATTGGATACAGTACTGACCCCTGGGGTACCCCACTAGTGGCTGGCTTATAACTAGATCAGTTGTGGCACTGACCACCACCCTCTGGGCCTGATTGTTCAGTCGGTTTTCAATCCACATCACTGTCACAGAATCATTAAGTTTGGAAAAGACCTCTAAGATATTGGGTCCATCCATTAACCAAGCACTTCCCTGTTCACCACTAAACTATATCTCCAAGTGTCTGTGTCCAAGCATGTAACATACATGCTCTGGAAAGCAGATTTCTGGCCCTCAAATAATAAGGAAGAATTTATTCAGCACCAGGGGATAGGATCAGATTTCTTGTAATGCCACAATATACAAAAACACGTATTTGATGTTTGGCTTTAGTTTTGAGCTATCTCAGTCTGAAAATACTGACACTTTATAAACACAACTTGATATTATTAGTCATTGCTTTTCTTGCTGTTGGACTAGGTGCTGGCCGTTATGTTCCAGGCTCTTCATCTGGACCGAGTACAATACCTGCAGCAGATCCATTTACAGGTATTGTAAAATTCATAATCTGTCTGGCTAGCATTTAAGGTGCATATTTTTTTCGTGTTCAGTTGCATTCAGTGTTCAGCTCCAGACACCCGTTCCTTGCAGTTTGGGGCAGTGGTGTGGAACAGCCTGGTGAGGTTGGGATCTGCTGCTGTCAAATTTCGGCAGAGGGGAGCCCTCTGCTGTCTGCTTTGCATCATGTCACTCTGCTCTCTGCAGCAGAAGGATAAGAACTTAAACCTTTTGTTTTGCCGAACTTCATATGTGTGCACAACATAGGAATGGATATATTCATAGCAGTAGGTTTCTTTATTATTACTAATTTTTTTCTTATTACATGATGTTTATTCATATCACTCACCCGAAATTTTAGATCCTGATCATTACTGGGCTAGCTATAAGTATTATAAAGTCTTCCTCACTAGTTTAGCAAGTTTGTTTGCAAAGACATTCCCAATTCCAAACCTCCTTTGTCAGACTTAGCCCATCACTGATTAGTAGCTCTTGCTCCTCAAAGAGGGTCTGGAGTCAATAGATGCCAAAGTCTTGCTTGCAGAATCAGCCATGCAGTGAGTTGCTGACGTACTTGAGTTCTTTTCAAGCATTTTTACTTTGCTGAGCGCATCAAAGAAATACCACCTAGGCCCTTCACCCAGGCAATACCATTGATGGCCATGTGGACGAGTAGCAGGGTAATAGTCTGAAGGCCAAGCAAGGCTTGACAGTGTCTCTGGAATCCTGGATTCTGGCCCCCAGCAGACCAACTTCAGGCCATGTCAGTAGGCAGGTGCCCTGCAGGAGGATACCCTGCGGCTTGCCTTTCCCGTTTTTGCAGACATGAGGTGCAGTCTCAGCTGGCTCTTTGCATCACTGCTGGGTGTTTGTCTTCACCAGTGCGAGGTCACTGCCTCTCCAGCAGTTGCACATCTCCAGGTAGAGCAGGAGCCCTTGTACTGTTGCCCAAACCCCACAGCCTTCAGCCTTCCCCATCTTGTCAGTCTTTCTCCTATTCTACTGCGGTGTGCAGCTGTCTCTCTCCCTTGCTTTGTGTGGCTCTCTCTGCAGTCTCTGCAGATGCAGGCCTAACCTGAGGCCTCGGTGCCAGAAAGGACAGTCCACCTCCCACCAGGAGAGGCCACTGCTGGCCCCAGACACAAAGAGAGAACAGACCTGGGCAGTGGTGCTCTCCTGCTGGAGCTTTTTGTGGATAAGGTATCTGTTGTGCTGAGGGACTTTGCACCTGTGGGTGCCAGAGACCATGCTATAGTGTCTCCTAGATGTGGTTCACTTAGCTTGCGTACACCATCATCGCCACCACCCCGACACACAGGCATAGATTTAATCTTTAAAGAAGTGCTGAACACGTCTTTATAATTCCTTTAGTGGAAAATAACCCCGTTAATAGTGATGTTCGATAACTAGTAACTAGATACAGGTATACATACCTCTTTACCGGTGGTGGTGTTTAAAAAACGTAATGTTTTTCTTTAGGTGCTGGTCGTTACGTTCCTGATTCAGCATCAAATGCAGTAGCTCCATTGGGTGGGGTTGATCCATACACAGGTAAGAGATGATGCATGCCAATGAAAAGCATCCCTGATATTTTGCTTTGTTTGTATATCTGATATGAATTCTGCACTGATGCAAATTTACACTTCATTAAAAATAATGAGCAGATTGAAGCTGATTATACTCTGGAAATTAGTTGGAAAATAGATATAACAGAGCCTTGCTTTACATACAGGAGTCAAGCACAGAAGCTTTAAAATGTATGGTAGTAATCTCTTTTTGAGAGGACTTCTGATCTCTTAGTAGTTATGTAGTTGATCTGAGAAACTGATATATGTAGTTAATGGGTATTACACAATGTCAGCCATTAAATGACCTGTGAGTTTAGGAAATCATTGTAGGTCATGATTAAAGCATTTTATTACTCTTTAGAAAAAGAGACTTCAGGCCACTATTGCATGCGACACAACGGGGCTATATCTGCAAATCCTCTAATATATAAACATTTTGCCTTTTCATTATGAAAGTAATCAGAATACAGGATTTCAGGGGCAGGGGGGAAATCTCTGTTATAAAATGACCCTTGTCATTTTCATGTCTTAACTGCAATATCCACTCCTATGAATGACTGTATTTAGTCCACATAATTAAGAAATCACTGTTAATAATGTACACTTGTAAGTTTTTATGTGAGAGGAGAACAGTTTGTGACAGTATTGCTTTAAGCTTCAAAGCTAGCATGTAAAAGTAATGTAAGGAATGACTGGTATTTGCATAAACACTCAATTTTTTCAAAAGTTTTTTTTTCTGGGTAATTGTCCAGATTATCCAGCAGCAGAGACTCACTGATAGAATAGTGTTCTATGTGAGACACTTTGGTACACTGTTGAACACTCTGTATTGCCTTTCTGCAGGAATGGGTGCGTACCAATCAGCTGCAGCTAAAGTTGAAAACATTTATTTTCCGAAGAAGGATGCTGTCACCTTTGACCAGGCCAATCCTACACAGATACTGGGTCAGTGTTTTCATCTGTTTGAAGTAACTTGTTGTTTGAGTTTTTCAAAAAGCTAAGTGATTTCTCATAGCTTTCCTGATATTTCTTGGGCTTGACCTTTTAAAATTGCATTCATCATTTTACTGGTGCATGTATTTGAAGGGTTAGGATTATGATTAAACCTCACAAGAACTCTTATATAATAGAGAATGTCCTTTTTTCTTTCCCTTGGCTTGCAGCTGCTGTTTCCTCAGAATCTTGATGCTATTTGTTACCAGTTTATTTTACTGTATTTCTGTAGTGTGCCTTAGTACATTTAAGGGACTTGTAAAATTAGCTTTTATTCGTGTCGTGGTTTAACCCCAGGCAGCAGCCAAGAACCACGCAGCCTCTCACACACTCCCCCACCAATGGGATGGGGGAGCGAATCAGAAGGGTAAAAGCTACAAAAACTCATGGGTTGAGATGAAGACAGTTTAATAGAAAAAGCAAAAGCTGCACACACAAGCAAAGCAAAACAAGGAATTAATTCACTGCTT